AGTGGCTCAAGGCTCACAGAATGGCCAGCCTGGCAGCTGGCAAACAGGCAAACAGAGGATAGCTCTGCTCCAGTGCTCTCTAGCTCAAAAAAGAAAACACGGCTTACCAAGGAGTAAGCCCCATGAAACTCAGTTTGACTTACATGCTTGGGCCCACCTTCAGAAATAGGCCCTGTGCTGCCCTCAACGTACGGCTGTGTCACACACACAAATGGGGGAGAAAAATAGGGCTAAGCAAAAAGAGTTTGGAGTAAATTAGAAGAAGTCATTTTGGAATGGGTCTCCTGGTCTCAGGGGAGAATAGAAGTAGCAGTTAAACGCAACACTAGTTTTTATTTGCCAAGTGCAAGATGGATTCTAGGCTGCATGGGGAGAAATAAATCCCCAACGTGCCACAGTGACAGTCTAGCAATTGTCTGCAGGTATATCTCCTTTCTCTATCTCTCAAACATCTCTTCCAAGAAGCATGGCTATGGGCTTTGGTTTTCTAATATAAACAGAAGCTTTGAATGGGTTGCTGACTTAGTGACACAATTAATCTCCATTATTCCTCCGAGGTGGAGACTAAAGCTTTTGGAGTTCTCATTGATCACAAGCCACTGAGGCCAAGGGGAAAGAAAAATCCCTATATGTTTGACCTTCTCTACCGGAGATCATCTGAAAGGGTATAAATCATCTTTATCAGATTGAAGTTGATCAAGCTGGTTCATGCATACCTTAATGACTTTGAACGTGGCTCCACCTTAGAGAATTCGTTTTAGCCGAGAAAATGGTCACAGAGCTTTTCCTGAGTTAGTATAAATAAATAATAATAAAGTTGCCTCAATATTAATAAAGAAACAAAGTTTGCAGTCCTGAGCTAACGGAGGATAAAAAAATTGATTTAGTGACTAATTTCGTACATGTACTCAATCCATTCTATTTCTACACTTATCTTCAGTGCAAAAATGTATTTTAAAACTTGTATTTTGCCAGGAAAAGTTGTGTTTTTCTTTCTAAATGTACACAGTTTTTATGTTCTTGGAAGTTAGAAAAATGCAGAATCTCATTTGGATTCTCCCATTGGTCTGGGAATTGCAGTTCAGATTACTTCATATTGAAAATAATTTCTTGGCCATTTCTAGACAGAGGCAGTGTTCACGTCTGAGTAGAGCATAAGACTGGGTCACAAGAGTCCTGTGACTTAGCCAGGTCATTATGAGATGGCCCACTAAGCTTAAGACAGCTATGTATTTCACCAATGGTTGCCACTTTTTTATGTGGACCATTAAGCCTTCATCTGAAGCAGGAAATAAGTCATTTTGGGCTCCTCAGTCTCATTCGTGCATGTTTTCATACTTCTCAGTTAGCTTCGTACCTAAGAGGAAAGTTGGGGTGGGAGGGATCCCTCAACCACTTCTCTCCCTCCTTAGCAGGAAAGGAACAACAGAAAACTTGCTTCCCTTTCAAGATCAGCTACATGAGATAGATGCCTCACTCTGCCGGATGGTAGGGCCGGCCGTCTGGTACAGCTGTACTGAATAGACAAGATGAAGGGGAAAGGAAGAGTTGTGGAGCTGTAGGTAAGCATACTGTGCTTCCCATTTACCTTTACTGTGGGATCAGTGGAAGGAATATGGTTTTAGAATATAAGGTAACCATGTAAATTCACCCTTAATCTTGACATTCTCATCGACCTGCTAACTGTCCAAACTTCTTTAGACGTAAAATGAACAGACAGGTGCTTCAGCTTGGAAAATGTCAGCTGCGATCCATCGCTCGGTGGAGAAAACCTCTGCTTGAAGCCCAGTTTTATGTGTGTTAAAGCAGTTCAAGACTATGCAGAATGCTAGTCTTGCTTTTGCCCTTAGGCTTAGGAACAAGACAGTTATGAATGGTTAGAAATGTTGAGTTGACATGGTTTTGGTACCAAAAGGGAGTCCTTAGTCCTTCCACCCTAAAATATCCACTCCTGGTTTTCCACTAGACCTTGGTTTCAGCAGCCCAGTTTAGTGGTGGAAGGGGGTCCTTCTGTGGCTGCTAACCACAGGGAGTCACAAACTCTCCATAGTCTAGTGCTAATCTGTCATCAGTCTACCAGTATGCCTCAATCCACCTTGTGCCTCCTCCCACCTTACAGAAACCCCTGGAGAAAAGAAAAGAAACAAGAAGGTACAGCTTTGGATGGTGAAGCTGCTCATGGCCTGGTGCAAGAAACGATGTCATGTTTCCTACAGCCAGCTGTAACACTCAGCGAGGGAGGGAGGGAGGAGGGAGGGAGGAGAGGCGATGTTGTTGCATGAAAAACATGTAAGCAAATTTGACAAGCCAGTTGCCTAATCTCCAGCTTGTCTTACAGAACACCTGAGATCTGAAAATTCACCTAGACAGCTTGGTAGGTAGCTTATGTAGTGCCCAATAGCTTTTTCAAAATGTGTAACATTTCTAGATGGCATGAAAAATAATAAACTCTCATAGACATGACTGTTCTCCAAGAGAAAGAGGGAACCCCGTCCCCAGGCTCTGTTAGATAATCAGAAATTGAATGTGTAGGCACATATTAAGACATACATTCCTGAGAACATAGGCTTGGTGAATATTTACAGTGTGCATATGAAAATGCCCAACACACACACACACACACACACACACACACACACACACAGTGTGTGATCCAGCCCTGGAGACAGACTATATCACCTGTCTCCCCATTGTGCTCTGCTATTCTATTCTATTCTATTCTCTCTTTCTTTCTCTCATGCTGCTATTCTGGTTTTTACTTTCATTTTTGCATTTTGTAATGGTGTGGTGTAATTTTTCTGCTGCAACTGGATTTTGCTCTAAATGAGCAAACCTTTGCCATGCTAGGGATCTAGCAACAAACTGTACAATTTAATGCCTTTGTAAACCTCTACTGAAGACTTTTCTGTTGCCTGTGTCCTTTTGGAATTTACACCAAAGTTCCACAACTCTGCTATTCAAGCAACAGCCAGGTGAGTCCCAAGTTTTGGGGCTCTGATTCCTGATATCTCTGGCCTTCAGATGTTGTTGGACTACAACTCCCATCATCCCTGACCACTTTCTTTTTATTATTTTGTATTTTATAGTGTGTGTGTGTGTGTGTGTGTGTGTGTGTGTGTGGTGTTGAATCACAACCTGGGAGAATGGCAGGAGATAGATAGATGATAGATGGTAGGTAGGTAGATAGATAGATAGATAGATAGATAGATAGATAGATAGATGATAGATATAAAATAAGTAAATAATGAAAAGCTGTTTCATCCTTAGGTTTGTATTCAATTTTTGTGTCCTTTCCCATCAAAAGAATTTGCAAACTCATAAGGTAGCATTCTGTCATGCTAGAGGTACATCATGGATCCCATTGAAAGAGATGCTTGAAATCCTAAAATAGAGATGTAAACTGCCTCTGAATGATCTGTGATGAAAAGGTGTGGGATATCAAACTGAACTTTACTTGGGTAGCATCTGTGCCTTCTGGAATCGATTACCAGCTGAAATGAGACAGGCACCAAGTATCATGATGTTTGCGTATCTATTGAAGACACTTTTGTTTAAGAAGGCTTCCCCCGCGTTGTGACCCAGTAATTTATGGAACATTAATTGTGTGTGTAGAAATGGCTTTTTTTTTTTAGTATTTGTAGGAATGGTTCAATTGTTTGTAGAACTTTTTTTGGATTTTATTTTATTTTCAGCTAGTTGTACACTGCTTCAATAGCTTCAGGGTATGAAGTAGTTTATTATAAATATGTAAAATACATCAATAATGTGGGAGTAGCACCCATTCTTTCCCCAATAGGCTGATTCACTGTTCTCATGCATATTTTCCTGAGAACAACCAAATATAGAGGCTGAATTCAACGAAGACTATGAATCATGCATTAGGATTCGACAGGAGCGGCTTAAAATGGGCTTATCGGCCAAATCTACTTTAGCCTGTTTTAGCTGATGTGCATTAAAAGTAGCCAGAAGGAAGGGGGGGAAAGGAGCTAGGGGAGGCAGAGGAATTGGAGATGATGTAGAAATGGCGAGGAAACAGTCCAGACAAATCAATTCCAGCATAGCTTAACAGACAACACACACATGCTGTCCACAATGGATTATTGCTTCTGAGTTTTTCAGTCAACACCAAACAGGTGCATCCCTTTTCAAGAGCAAATACACCGTGGTTATAATAAAGTATGTCATACAAAGCAAAATCTGTTTATGTTTTTATTGAGTGCATTGGGGCTTTTGTCCTACGCACACACACACAAACACACACACACACAGCCTGCATCAGTGTTTTGCCTGCAAAATTCCAATTTACACACACACACACTCCTCACCAACCAGGGAACCTAATCAGCGCACTGTGGGATGACATCTTTTTCTCTTCTGTGTCTCTTTCCCCTTCTATCACCTGTCTTTTCACCATCGCCTTCTCAATCATGGCTCCTGCCTTATTTGGGACAGGCTGTAGCACACAGCACATGCTTTGCATGTAAATGGTTCCACATTAAGTCACTGGGAAATCCAAAAGAGAAGCTACCTGTCATTGTAGACTAGGGATGCAGACATTGTGGTCTTGCATATGTTGTTGGGCTCCAAACACAATAAGCCCCAGTGAGCATGTCCAAAGTTCAGGGAACTGTAGCCCAGCAACTTCTAGAAGGCCACAGGTTCTCCGTCACTGCTGTTGACAATCCTGAACCAAGATGGACCCAAGGTCTGTCTTGATATATAAGGCAACTTCCCAAGGGACATAAGGGAGGTATACACGTGGATAAAGCCATGTGTAGCAATGGATATGGACTTGTCACAGCTGAGTTTGATATGATCTCAACATATGAAGGACTGTTCATTGTGTGTTCTCTAAGGGGGAAAGGAGGAGAAGCTCTTTGCTTCGCTCTATATCCAGCTCTCAGAAGTTGTGGCTAGATTCTGTATGGTCATTTGCTCTGAGGGCAGCCATCTTAAGGGCACCTATTGCCATAGCAGTGGGGAAATGACTCCTTTGCTGGGGAAGGACCATGGCTCAGTGGCAAAGCATCTGCTTTAAATGCAGAAGGTCCCAGGTTCAATCCCTGTTGTCTCCAGGTAGGGCTGGGAAAGACATCTCCTCTGATACCATGGAGAGCTGCTGGGAGTCAGTGTAGACCTGGGGTGGGGAACATATCTGAGCCCAAGGGCCACATTCACTTCTGAGTAGCCTTTTGGGGGCCACATGCAGAGCCAGAGCAATGAAGATAAATGATACCTTTATCCAGTAGTCCTCACACACCCATCTCTGTCCCTTATTCAGGCACCATCCCTGGTGTTGACAATGCTGAGCTAGATGGACCATCCCCTGCTTCCCCTCAACACTCTCCACATCCTATCCCATGTTATCCTAGGATGGGGAAGAATAGGCCAAGTACTTGAGTGAGTTTAGGCTGATGCTGGAAGCTAGAGATACAGAGGCATGTCTTACTCTGTGCCGGACCCAAATCTGTTGCTCAGGGCTTGCCTAGGAACCTAATGGGGAAGCGAGATCTGTTGGAATGTTAATGCCGTGAGCCCCTCCATCCTATGCTTAGGTTGTATGTATGCATAAATAAAACCAGGTATCTTAAAGGCATCACAGTCTCCACCAACCAAGGGAACTGAACCCTGGGTAAGCGCTGTAACCCTTAGAGACTTTTGCTGCTGGAAGATTCAGGTGCACAAACAGGATTTTGTATAGTCCTCTTCAGATTCAGTGTAAATAACACATTTGGATTGTTTGTACGGGACTTATTCTACTGTTCTGTTTTCAAAAAGTTCTATAGAGTATTATGAGCAAAAAAAAAGTCCTAACTTATGAATTCTTCACATTTCTGAGGAATCGGAGTGAGATTTCTTTCTTTTAGATCACTTAGATAAGAACAGAGAAAACAGAGGGGAAAAATTAGCAAGGTATGAAAGAGTAAAACAGTCCTACCTTTTTAGAACTAAAGTCATCCACATCAATGTGAAATATAGACTAGCACATTAATTTTATACATTAGGTTTTATCTGCCTTTCCTCCTAGAGAAATTGAATGCTGACACCACTCTGACAAGGAGATATCTTTTGATACATAATAAAAGGTTTAAAGCAATGTAAGTTTTTCTAAACTCCAGTAATTCTGCCATAAATTTTGTCATGTTCCCCAGCCTTGATCTCTCAAAAAAATGCGGAACGACCAAGGAGAAAATGGATGGGGGAAACTCAGGCCTATCAAGTGAAGCTGAATATCGGGAGATTTGGGACAGATAAAATAAAGTATTTATTCACAAAGTGCATAGTTAAACTTCAGAGTTTCCTCCCACAAGAGGTACTGATTGCCACCAACTCAGGAGGCTTTTAAATAATATTGGACAAATTCATGGAGGATCGGGATACCGTTGGCTACTAACCATCGCGATACTAACCTCCCTGCTGAGTTCTACAAGGGCAACACTGTCACTAAGAAGCAGGAAGATGGCAGGTAGTGCCAGCCCTGGAGTGGTTGTAAGGAAGTTAGCAAGTGGGGGCTGGCTAAGAATAAACTTAAGTTGGTGGGACCGTGCCCTATTTGTCCTAATGGACCAACCTGTGATGTTACTGATGCAATCCACCCTAAGGCAGGACTTGAGTAATGGCCACTGGCTATGCATCATCTTCATCATCTTTGGCAATCCCTTGTAGCCAAGTAAGATTGTCTTCCATGAACATGGTCTTAAGAGTGAGTCTGTAAGTGACTGCGGAGGCCAATTCTGGATCCACATGTCCTTCCACAGTGGCGACATAGGTTTTTGAACAGGAGTTGATCACGGTGAAGGTTTGTCAAATGTGCCTTCCTCTTAGCTCCTTTCTCCTTTTCACCCTGAGTTCATGCTTTATCGAAGTTGATGACACCTTTGATAAAGGCTGTTTTCCAATTGGAGTGCTCGCAGGCCAGTGTTTCTCGTTATCAGTGCTTATGTCACATTTTTTTAGATTTGCCTTGAGAGCGTCTTTAAACCTCTTTTGTTGTCCACCGGTATTTTGCTTTCCATTCTTGAGTTGGGAGTAGAGTAGATGCTCAGGCATCCAAACAACATGACCAGTCCAACGGAGCTGATGTTGAAGAATCATTGACACTGGTGATCTGATGGATCTCTTCGCAGAAGGCTGACAATCTACAGCAGAGAGATACTCCAAAACTGTGGGAGAATCACAATGAGATGTGGGGAGATTATAGCAGTGGAGTAGAAGAACTAGTAAAATGAAATACTTCAGTCATGGAATGATCATGCAAATAGAAACAGAAAATTATTACATTCAAGATCATCATTCTGAGGTAAAGTATTTCACAGAACAATTTCTTTAAAAAAAATTGCATTCCAAATATTCTCTCTCTCTCCATTCCCTTCCTCTCACATGTATTTTCCAGAACTTTCCTTCACTGGTCAGAAACCAGGGTGCCAGAACGAAGACAGAAGAGCTTGATGGGACCCCACACTTCATGTGAAGCCTTTGGCATAGCCCCCTAGTTTCCCTGCCTTACTGTAACTCAACCTATGTACTACCAAAGTACTTTCATGCTAATCGTAAAAATGTTCCCCAGGGTCAATGGCATATTGCTTCCCTGTTTACCTGACTCCATTTCGCTCGCCTTTCTCTGCCATTTCCCCTGTGTCAAATTGTAAACTCCTTTGGGGCTGGGTCCTGTCCTTTTGTACTCTGTAGAATGCCTTTGCACACTAATGGCTAACAACAACAACAACGTGCACGGTTATATTAGATTATAGATTATAGACTATATATTAGATTATATTGACCAACCTTATGAGCCCTGAGTTTCTTTCTTGCCCATCTTTTCATCAAAAGACAAATTATAAAAATGCTTTAACTCATAGACTTCAACAGACAGACACACAAACAAATAAAAGACCGAGAGCTGTCTGGTGACAATATATAAATCCTATTCATTCTTGCAAGGCAATTTCCCACCCAAATCTTTCTGAGACTGTACTCTTCGAGATTCTCTCATTTGTTTAAAAAATGGGCACTAGAGGGAACAGAGTAAGTGAGCAAAAGAAACCATATATTCAGGCCAAAAAAATTCAAAGATAACAATAATAATGAAAGCTGTGGGTGTTTCTCTCCTGCCCTTTAGAGCGGGGAGAAGAAGATAAGACAGATAATAATGTTTGTGGAGCAGAATGCCGCTTAGGCTGATGAATGAGAGGGCATTGCAGTTTATGGAAGCAGCCGTCTGTGGGGGCAAGCCGTCAGGGGAGATGTCAAACAAAATAAATCTGTCTAGTCTTGTTTTGCTTGAAGTCTGCCATATTGAAAATGGGACCGTCCATCATAAGTTACTTTTTGTGTGTGTGCCAGTAGCGTCATCCTGGTATATAAGCAAAAGGACTCAGGGAGGCAAAGGGTGAGCAATGCCAATGTACTCATGCAATGGTGGGACCATATGGTGGTAGAGTCCAGAGAACATAGGCCACATTCACACTACACATTTGAAGCACCATGATTCCACTTTAAACTGTGTGGCTTCCCCCAGAGAATTATGGGAGGTGTACTTTGTTAAAGGCGCTGTAAGGAAGTTGTGAGGAAATTCCTGTTTCCCCCACCAGACCTACAATTCTCAGAGTTGTTTAACAACCAATACTTCTTCTGGAGAACTCTAGGGAATGCAGTTTGGGAGGGGACTAGGGGTCTCCGAAGAACTCTCCACACATTTAACAAACTACAGCTCCCAGAATTACTTGAGAAAGTGTTATCATAGTGCTTTCAATGCACGATGCCAGTGTGGTCATAGAATGGACCTTACCACTTCACAACACTGCTAATGGGGAATACTGGCTTGTGTCCAATGTTAGTAAGACTCAGAACCGACCCACTGAAATTAATGGTCATTTTAATCATTAATTTCTACTCTGTGTAGAACTTCATTAGATACAACCTACTGTTTTTGAATGCTTCCCATTGGTGGTTGTGGAATGGGAATCACAACTGGGGATAGCACTGTTGCATTCATATCCTGCAAATGGGCTTCCCATAACCATGTGGATGGCCACTGTGAGAACAGGATGCTTTGGCCTGATCCTTCAGGGCTCTCCTTACGTTCTTCTGGGATGGAATTGATGCAAGTAGCAAGCAAACATTGCAGAGAGAAACATTCCAGCCCAGCTTCCTACCTGCTATTCACCACCTGCAAATGATGTGGCAAATATTTCTTTGTTTGAGGGAGGGTCATTTTCATTCAGTCTTTTAATTCACACTCTGCAGCTGCTGATGCATATTTTGTTATCTGTTACAGGACAGTTGTCTTTCTTTTCCCCTTTTGTGTATGTTTCAACAAACACAACTCCTGGCTTCTGCATCAGTAGAAGACAGGAGACTGCAGAGTGAACAAATGCTGGGTATAACCAGCTGACTGAAGCAACACATGTAATAGCAGCAGGGAAGGGCTTAGCCGTCAGCCTCCTTGGAATCAGAACTCAGGTGTTGCAAACATGTCTCTTTTTGCATCCATGCTGGAGAGTCTGCAGTCCAGCCCACTGCAATATCCTGCTTGCTGTGAGTCCCACCATACTATTCTGGGCATTTTATGATCACCTTTTTTACCTGCGTGCCTAGAAAATATGCCCAGTACAAGCACATCTGTGTCATTTTTATGTACTTGAGGGCCACAGGGTCTTCTCTTCACAAGCAGGAATGAGTGTGTGTTTTAGGGAAATGTTGTACTTCTCTCTGCCTTTACATCAGTTATCATATGGCTGAAGCTATGTGAACAATAGCCTTGCCAAATGAACCCCTAAATGCTGTGAGCTGAGTTGTGTGCCTGCCTTTTGTGGCCTTGACTGGCAGCAACACCCACAATCCCTTCCAGGATGACAAGACTTGTCTCCTTACGTTTTATAAACAAAATTGTCCAAATTGGCAAAGCTCGGCAAATCCTCCCATTTCTTTTCAACGTAATATTGCAGTGTCACTTTCTGTTGTTTTCTCTGCCAAAATGGGGACAGGAAGGCTGGGAGGTTTTGCTCTTTTTCTTTTTCAACAGAATGGTTATTTTAAGAAAGAGATCTATATTTTCAGATAATCTTTCGATTTT